AACATAACCTAAGCACAGATGTAAATCTGTCTCTTATACACATCTAGATGTGTATAAGAGACAGCCTCCCTATATCCTCCCTTGCTTACTATCTTAAAATCAACTGTATACTTAAATCCAAGTGCGAACAGGGGTACAATTCCTTGGTTAAACTTTGCAATGTGAATGTGGCTTATATACCACTTCATTTTGACATACTGAAACAATTATGTAAACCAATGTGAATGAAATGAAATCTACTGTATGATATCAATAATAATGATAGTGATGATGATGATGGTACTAGACATGATGACAATGATCACAATAATTTAGTGATAATGATTTTGTTGATGAATTATTTCACTTCAGGAAAATCATTAAGAAAATTTTAACAAAGCTGTAGTTTAAAAACAAATGCTGCCACCTATTATCAGCTCATTACCTTCAAGTCATAACCAATGCTAGCAATGATGTTCATAGCTGCCGGATGCCAGTTGAGAAACGTTACTTTCCTTGTGTGACCATGCAATGTTGCATCCGCTTCACTTCGATTTGTTAGAAGACCGCCCTCTGGAATTTGCCAAAATTTAATCTACATAAAAAGTCAATTAATAATTTTTTTTAATTTGTAGGTGGTAATTCTGGGGGGAAAAAAATTAAACATTCATCCTTTTTACTATGATACAGTACGTATAAGAATTACATGTACATGTCATGAAAAATCAAGGTGTTTTTTTTAGCCTTACAAAGTGGCTATCAAGCTACTAAAATGTAAAAACGTATTATTAAATAGGCGACATACTGTGTCAACAACCAAGTTTACATTTATGACAGGCAGAATCAGCCATGTTTTTCTACGAATGACTGTCATTTAATGCAAGAACCTTAGCACCAATATCGAAAGTGTGGGGCTTAGTGAAATGGTCCATTGTATATGCCTTTGAAAAAAAACCAAAAATTAGCAGGATATTAAATGTTCGAAAAGGCCTTGGCTTTTGAAAGAAAAAAAATACCATCAACTATATATCAATAATTTCATCAATACAACAATGTTAATAAGAACATCCAATTTCAAACAATAAATAAGTAATAATGCTTGCATATTGTTATTGAATAAATCATGCACACAAACACGTTCTTAAAGAACAACATAATAAAATACATTATTTAATTCATTATCAAAAAAACATGAAGAATATATGGAACAATGACTAACACTAATTTCACAAGAATATTCCTTTTCAACTTTCTGTTGAAGGGCCATAATTATTCCTATCTGAGCACTTAAATTATTAGGCCATATTTATTATGTTCATAATATTGTGTTTACAGTATTAACTAGCAAATCTGAATATATAAATAATATGTGTACATTACATATTATAAACAAAATAGTGTCTCTTAGTATGGAATTATATTACCACAGTATGTACATTTATAATAATACAATTCAGTAAACATCAAGTGTAGCTTTGCATTAGGAATGATTAATGCATTATGGAATTGCTCGACATAATAAAGAATTTTGTTCTAGGTACATAGTTCATATTAATATTATGCCATGTAAATCATCATGAATGAGAGCTTATTCTGAATATTATATCAAATTCTAATCATCTAAGCATTAAATTGTCTGAAGAATCTTGCATTCTTTAACATGCACTTGGCCATTGCACACATGATGAATGGTTTATATTTTGATCCTTATTTAAATACGTATTATGTATTAGGGGCAGATCCAGGGGGAGGGGGCATTGGGCCAACCCTTCCTCCAAATAAAGGAAAATAGAAAAAAAAAAAAATTAAAAATAAAAGGAGATAGAGGGGAGCATGGTATTTCAGCTAAACACAGCTAATTTTTGTTTTAATTTCTATGTACCAGTGTCTATCTATGGTCAAACATTTCAAACAAAAATCTCAAACACCCACCTTCGCACGTTGCATGGGCCCTCTCCCTCCCTACCCAGAATCTTCTCTGGATCTGCCCCTGTGAATGGTGCCCACAGAAATATTAAATTAACTTGCTCATTTTGAAGCAACATAACCCGAGCACAGATGTAAATTTAAAAACTATTTAACATGTTGACTTTCAGACCTATTTTTTAAGTTTCCTTCCCGTGTGCCAAAACAGGTTTACATGTACAAACATACTTTTTTGAAATTTTATCTAGTCATCATCAAAATGTCTAAAAAATTGGCGAGAAAATATTTAGGGGGCGAGCAAAGTCGTTGACGGCAGTGTGATAGCATTTTTTATTGAATATGCCAAGTGCGAGTTATCTCGTCCACTTTTTGCATGGGTTGGCCGCTCGAGTGTACTACCGGCAACATAACACAACAAACATACATACGTCATTTGTATGTTATCGTCTAGGTGTATCTTCCACAACTCTGTGGTTCTATAATGTATAACAAAAGAGTTATAAATGCTAGAAATGTTTTGATTTTGACGAGTATACTCGTCCTTGGCGCCCTCAGCAACACCCTGTGGGCGGGTATGCACGTCGCTGGCAGCCAACGTGTTAATGAATTTTTAAAACTATTTTTCAGGGGACAATAAATCTTAAATCAACTCATTAATTTAGATTTTTGATAATTTGTGAATGATTATACAGTGCAATGAATATTCATAATGCGATTTCCTTCAGATACTATAGTAAAAACATTAAATCTCTTACCAGGCCATCATCAGAACATGATGCTATCAAATGGTCATCAAAGGGACTCCATTTAATGTCCAGTACAGTGCTGGAGTGACCAACGATCTTCGGATAAGATGATTCAATACGACCAGTCTGTTGAGGCGAAAAACATTCTATTAATAATTTCAATTGGTATACTTAACTTACATAACCTACATGTATAGTATAATTTGCTTTATCTTTTATAAACACATTTAATTTGATACGTTTTAAAAAGATTAATATATTTTTTTTTTAAACAAACTGCTATAGCCCAGCTGCATTGCGAATGGTAGCCAAATGATTTATATAAGACCGTAACTACAATGTTGTGCGATGGATCATGTTTATACATCAACCTGCTCAGACAACCATTAGCGGTAAACAAACTAGCGTTGCACAGGACAATTGCGTGGAAAATTATAGGGCTGACATTCTGGTGATGCCAGACATAAGAAAGCCGGTTGAGAAGAGTTGGATGAATGTAAGAGACAGACTGACCAAGAATGAGTAGGTTTGCCCTGCTGATGTGTAAGAAAGAATGTATGGTACATTTAACAGTATTAATAGTGAATAACAAAATGCGGAGCTTTCAGTAATCAATCCTTCAGTCTATGTTGAAAGGTAAAATGATATACAATAGACAACCAATGTTGTATTTCTGTCAGAGTTGTCTTTGAAAATGATTTACACGTTTAATGTACGTTGAGCTAATCCTTACAAAACTGGCAAACATTACTCGGTGAATAGCTAAACAATGGCTTTTGAAGAATACTAATGTGTGTAACCGTATATTCTCACATATAAGGTATTCCCTGTATAAGACGACCTCCAAGTTTTAAGACGAGTTTTGTATGTCGAGCATATATATGACGACACCCCCCTCCCCCGACATTTCACTGCCAGAATCACCCTTTTCGATACCCAGTATATATCAACTGCTTAGGACTCCTTTTGCTGCTTTTTATGTTGCTGATACTGCAACTATCTGGATAAAAATGAAGCCGAATATAGGGCTAATCTTCCAAATACCATTTTATGGGCTTTTAAATGTTTATCAAAACCTCATTTTCCCGCATTTAACATTGCATTCATTCATACAACAGTTTAAGTAGCTTCATTTCGGTAGTAAACTCGCATGTTAGGGACCAGCCGCTCATAAGACAAACATAATTAATGAAAAATGTATGTTGCGCATATTAAGATGACCTCATGTTTTTCGATCGTAATTTGCTATTTTAAGCCTCGCCTTATACGCGAGAATATACGGTATTATTGTTTAATAATAATACAGTACCGGACAGTTTTATTGCAAAAATTCAACGCATTCAACCCGTTGCGTTTTCGTTGACAACGCGTTGGCGTTTTCGTTGGCGTTGTCGTTGAAACTGTTGACATCGTTGAGAGCTCAGAAA